GGCCTAAACCTTTTATCTACTATTAACCAAATATATAATAATAATAATAATAATAATAATAATAATAATAATAATAATAATAATAAAATTCTTCCCGGCTGATCCAACATACCCGGCTGCCGGTGCTCACTGGATGTTGGATCCGCCACTGTGCATGTCTCGAAATATTTATGATCGTTTGTTTCACACTGGCAGAATGCATGTGTCTACTCTCCAAATATATTAAATATTAGCTTGATTATTCAATCTAAACATACATATAAATTTAGAAGCTATTACTTGAAGTATTGAAGTATAAAGAATATTGTTTTTTAAGTCAAAAATAAATGAACAAGATATTTTGTGGGGGATGATAATGGTTAATTAGAGAAAAATTGGCATAATTATTTGATTTCTTTTTCCTTCTGATCTGGGATAAATATTTTAGAATAACGTTTTATATATTATGGAGTAGTTATATATCAAAGGAGGAATACTAGCTTAGTGGAAACAGGGTTACTTAGTTATCACAAAGTCTCAAGTATGAGGCATTTGGATACTTTATAAACGGATTGAGAAAATATTCCACTTTTCTCATGAAAACGCCCAATTTGACCTGTGCCAGCAATTTTTGACCTGTTTGAATAAGCAACCAAACTGGCTTTACGTACAAATGGTTTCCGGCCTCAGCCAGTCCAATTTTCAGAACTACAGTATTACCAGTTAAAGTTGCTATAATTGGAATTGCAATGCTAACTTACTGCCATAACTTACTTAGTCTTAATTCTGTACTGCACTTTGCTACAATACTTCAAGAACCGTTACCTACTTTTTGCTGCACTTGGGCAGCAATATTTCGTTCTAGCCCATTTTCCAGATGTCCCAAGGCGTGTGACACCCTTTGCTTATATCTTGAGATGCATATATGGTCACAATGTCCCTCGCAAATTTTTGAAAGACCCGTAGCATGCTTTAGTCTGGGGGAATGCTCTAGTGTTTTGTGGGTGAGTTTGTGAGGAGCGAAGTTCTGTGAAATTGGATGCATCAAAATATAAAATTACCAAACTGCCAGAATTTCCTGATTAGTGTAAAGATCTAGAGACTATTTCACATAGACTGTTCAGGTTTGCATGTACTATTGTAAATATATTAGGATGTTTTACTAATAACAATGTTTGGTATTTCTTGAGATCTTTCATGGGTGTTTTGTGCGCAACTTATGTATTCTCAATTGATACATCCAAGAAAGTTCATAAAATTTTGCCTGTCTACAACTTCATCAAGATTTTGGATGTAACTGACAACCGTATTTGCTATATACACACAGTTTATTATTTGTATATTGAGCAAAATGTAAATATTTATATCTTTTAGATCAAGCTCTATGACCATCGTCTGACGCAAAGAGGGCCAATCCAATCTTATGATGGCAATGTAAATTCTCATTCTCGCTTGGAACTTGGAGTTGACCCATCAGAGAAATTTGTCCTATCAGGTTAAGATTAGTTTCGTGCGTGCAATTCATTCGTTTTGACTGTACGAAGTAATACTGATCCTCTGCCACTGCAGGAGGAGAGGACTGCTACCTAAGGTTATGGAATATTCCATCTGGTAAAATGCTCTTTGAGGATAGATTCATGGATTCCGTCCCCTCAGCTGTGTGCTGGCCAAGAATTGATGGTAATATCTCCTTTCTTACAATAGAACTCTCATATTTTATGTTCTATACTAATTTCTTGTTAGGGCTTTTAGGAGAAGAAAAAGGAATGCAAAATTACAGATATTCCGGGAAGGACCATTCTTCGGGTGCATGGCTTGGTTCGTATGACGGGATATTTTACTCGAGCTGGTTGTAATTAGTGTGTACATTAGTGTGTTGGGTAGTGGAATTCAAGATATTGAGGCTTGTTATTTGAGCTAAGCAGATTTATGCAAGCCTGATGATCTTCTTGGTCTTTCTTGTCAACAGTCAAGATGTGTAGGATTTTAGGTCAACTTGAATTGCACCAAGGGTTGAGTTCTGAAGATCACTATAAGAAAACTTGTATAAGAACATAAAATGACTTTTCCTTGATAAAGGAGTCTCTGTAATTATATTAATTTTGGCACAATTATATTAATTAAAATACATTTTATAACAACTCTGATTGCTTCTATGTATTTAGGTTAATAATTAAGGTGCTTAATTATGTATCAACATATTCTTCTTATAAGTAATATTTTGATTACGAGTAAGAAAATCTGCCAGCTGCTTATAAGCACGTATAATCTCAAATTTACCTCGTGGAGTATTTTTGGCATGTTAGCATTAACCAACACTCCATATAAACTTCTAAATTGTTAATCAATTTTACTATGGAAATCGAAATCTTTGGAAACTCTTTCAGAAACTACTAAAGTTTCCTAATTTTTTTTTTTTTTAAAATAAATTTTGCAAATCTAAAGAAACTTTAGTAAGCTTTTGACAAAATTATTTGATAATTAAGGCTAAAAACTGCACATTGTTATGATTTTTTTGTGAGTTCTAACTAAGAATTAACTATGCCCCAAGCTTCAGCTGCAAACTTTCAACCTGTCATGTTTTAATTATTATACGAAAAGTAAAGTTGTTTATAGTTTGAATTAATATTTATTAGCTTCTTTAAAATTTAATAATTTAATTTATAAATTACTATTTAAAAAAA